TACACTAAACCGTTTTTAATCTGAGCACATCTTTTAGCTTTAATCTGAGCATAGCTTGTAGCCAACCTCACAGCTCCAAGTGTGCTGCGACATCTACTGGCAGGTAACGGTTATTGCACCTACTCCACCTCAAACTCAACCACAGGTAAGATTTATAATTTAAAATATAAATTTATAATTTAAAAGGACAAGATGGTGGACAATTTAACCATCCGGGGTTCAATAGCCTTTTTACTTATGCCATGTACAATGTTATGCAAGGCTTATATGATTTCCTCCTACATCCCTCTATTTGATTCTGGAGATTAGCTTTGTCCTTCATATTTTATCATGTCCTTCATATCATGTCTTTAAAAACATAGTTTGATAAAGGGCCAAGAATGAGGCACTTTAAAAAATGAATCAGTCTTTACAGACTGATAATGACCAACTAAAAGAAAAGTTCAGCACTCTGGAGAAGAATACAACCAATTTGACAAACAAAACCCAGTCAATGACAAAGGGTGCTGAGACATTATCTGAGAGAATTCGTACTGTTAAATGTATTAATCAGCTACAGAGAAACCCTGTCTTGGAAAAACCAAAAATAAATAAATAAATAAAAATGTATTAATCAGACACTGTCAAAGGGTTATGATAGGTTGACTGATAGAATATCTCTCCAGGAATCTAAATATGCATGCTATAAAAATTATGTCCAAGGATGAGACCTTATCTTTTACTGGACAGACTTCATACCTTGAAATCCTCAATGAGAACATTAGAACAGAACAGAACACTGGACAGGAGATCCAGACTTTACAAAAGGCAGTGGTAAAAAGATTTAAAAAGACTGAGAAATTTATCAAACTTAATGACCAGGGACAAAAGATACAAAGACAGAATGTAGCCTCATCAGTACATACCACACTCTGGGATGGCTTACCCAGAGTTCTACCTGCTTCTCCGGTGATATCATCAGAAAGAGCATCTGGCACCAAGTACCCAAAGGTAGTCAAAGAATATACATGGGAGCCCATACGTATGACTGATCTAAAGGATTAAATTAAACAAGCAATTGTAGCTTATGGAATAACTTGTCCTTTGTTAGGGAAATGGTCAAAACGTGGGCTTCAAGCAACAAAGCAATATCACAAGACTGGATTCAGTTCGTCTCAGCGGACCTAGAAAATGGACTGCAGTTACTTTGAAAGTGTTACTAGAAAGAAAAAGCAAAAATTTTAGAGCAACAGGAAAAAACAAAAGGACTTGAGATTTCCCAAGATCAAATTCTGGGCGAGGGACTTTACTCTGATCCTCAGGATCAAGCTCTTTAGGATGAACACACCTTGTCCCTGTGTAGCCCAGCAACTTTAAATGCTTGGGACAGGATTCAGGGCCTCTAAAAATGGTCTGTCAGCTACGCTAGGCTTTAGCCAAAGTTGGTTGCTTCAACGTTGCATATGAGACTTTGGGTGATTGCCCAGGTAGCCAGTTGTCTCTGTTATATACTGCTCACTTTGGAAGCTGCTTAATTGCACTTCCTGTCTACTGAAGTAATATTATCTCGCTTCTCAGGCCTTTGATGGGGTTGAAGATTAGATAGTCGTAGTTACCTTCACCTAATGATTTAGCCAAGCTTATTTCCAATACAAGACTTAGACTCTTTGGAGCAGAATGTTTATTAAAACATTTGTCATGTGTTCCTTGCTTAATAGTGTTTATGTTGTTTGTAATTTTATACTTGATATCTGTTCCTATTGTATATAGTTTGGTGTTGGGCTTGGATCGCTCTTGTTTAGACCAAAGGGGTAGGTGATGGGGAAGCCTTGTTAATCAATTATCTTTAAGAGGTAGGACCAAGTTAGGGTGTGGCTTTCTGGGACCCAGAGAAAAATGGATGCATGGTCCAGGTGTTCTCTCTCTCAGTGGTTCCCTCGCCCGCACAGCTGAGCTTGGATTTCTCATTCCGGTTTCATAAGTTTTCCCCTTATAATAAATAAAAATATGATTGTTTATCTTTTAGCTAGCCTAATTATTATCTGAATCAAATCCACTTCTACCTGGGATGATTCTTATTCCTGATTATTTCTTTTTTTTTTAATATTTATTTATTATGTATACAATATTCTGTCTGTGTGTATGTCTGCAGGCCAGAAGAGGGCACCAGACCTCATTACAGATGGTTGTGAGCCACCATGTGGTTGCTGGGAATTGAACTCAGGACCTTTGGAAGAGCAGGCAATGCTCTTAACCTCTGAGCCATCTCTCCAGCCCCCTCCTGATTATTTCTTGTAACTGAATAAATAATAAAGTCAATTCTGTATCATCTGGTATATATTCAGCAGTTTCAATATGCAAAACAACTCTGCATATTGTGAATCAGTAACTATGTCAAGAGTGTCTGTAAAATCCACTAATACCATAAGAATAGCATATGATTCTGACTTTTGGACAGAATCATAAGGACTTTGAGCCACTTTACTTAATTTTCCTATTTGTACTCTGCCTTACTTATTTGCATCACTATAGAATGTAGGGGTTCCAGATATTGGTGTTCCTTGTACAATGAGAGGAAGGATCCATTTAGTTCTCTTTATAAATTGAATTCTCTTGCTTTTTGGATATTTGTTGTTAATCTCTCCCAAAAATTACCACAAGCTCTTTGCCAAGATTCACTTTCTGCCCATAATTTGTCAATATCCTCATTATTAATATGCATCACAATTTCTGCTGGGTCTGTTCCTGCTAACTGACCAAGTCTCAATTTTTCATTTTAGAATCAATCCAGAGACTTCTTCCACATACGTTTTTAATGTTTTACTCTGTTAATGTGGTAAAAAGATCCATTCCAAGACAATATCTCATCTCTGCATTAATATTCCTGTAGGAGAACGCACAGAGGGTAAAAGAACCAAAATGCTAAGCAAGCCATTGAGCAGCTCCCCTCCAGGACCTCTGCATCAGCTCCGTCTCCAGGTTCCTGCCTTGCTTAAGTTCCTACTCTGATTTTCCTCAGTGATGGATTTACCTGGACTGTAAGATTGAAACAAACCTTTTCCTCTCCAAACTGCTTTTGGTCATGGCGCCTCATCACAGCAATAGAAACCCTAAGTCAAGTCAGCTCCACTTCCTAAAGATCCCACTCCCTCAGGGGATGGAGAGATTCTGCAGAGGTATTAAGCAAATTGTCATCATGCTTGGCCATTTTTTTTTCATTTTTCTGAGTTGAAAAAAAAGTGCAAATATTTTCATAAGAATAAATTCCCAGGGGACTGGAGAGATGGCTCAGAGGTTAAGAGCACTGACTGCTATTCCAGAGGACCTGGGTTCAATTCCCAGCACCCACATGGCAGTTCACAACTGTCTGTAACTCCAGTTCCAGGGGATCTGGCATTCTCACACAGACATACATGCAGGCAAACCCCCAATGTACATTAAAAAAGAATAAAGTCCTAGAACTGAGTAGGTTTTGTTACTGCCACTGTGGAACATTTCTTTCTGGTCTTGCATGTAATTGATAACCTCAGAGTGTGTATTCATGGAAAGTGAGGAAGCCTGTGGACAAGTGACAGCTTGCAATTATACCAGATTCCAGGTCCCTGATAAGTTCCTCTACTTTAAGACAATCATATACAACTCAGGTTCCTATGGAATACTATCCAAAACTCTATTTTTAAAACATGGTACACTTTGTTACTAACTAAAAAGCAGACTGAAAATTTCATCTTGTTAATATTAAAAACTGAGAGCCGGAAGGTGGTGGCACACACCTTTAATCCCAGCACTCGGAGGCAGAGGCAGGAGGATCTCTGTGAGTTTGAGGCCAGCCTGGTCTACAAGAGCTAGTTCCAGGAAAGGCTCCAAAGCAACACAGAGAAACTCTGTCTCAAAAAAAAAAAAAAAAAAAACCCAAAAATAAAAAAATAAAAAATTAAAAACTGAAAAAGAATTGCCACATCCATTACATTTGTCTGAAAAATTAAAAACAATGGCAAAAATAACAATTGCCAGACTATCAGTTCTTGACAATATTTGGAGTTGCCAAATTAAAGGGAAGGAAAAATGAGGAAGCCAGAACGAATGGCCATAGAAGACACCTACAAAACTAGAAACTGCAAGTTTTATTGCCATTCCCTCAGCTGCAATCAGAGGATAATACGAATCACATTCCAGGGTAGCAAGGCAGAATTACAGGCAAACTAGATGTAGTGGATGAAGCCTCCAGAGTGGAAGGAAGTGATGGAAATACACTACCACCCATCCTGTTAGCTTACTTTTTCTTCTCAACAAATACTGCCAAGTCTACATAAAAAAGAAAAACACTGATGTAAAATTACAAAAGTGGGAGAAAAATGGAAAATGGTTTACGTACCCATTGTTAAAAAATAACAACCAAGAAATAAAACGGCTTGTAGATTTATTTTTTTAAAAAAATATCCCTTTCGGAGCTGGAGAGATGGCTCAGCGGTTAAGAGCATTGGCTATTGATTCTTCCAGAGGACTTGGGTTCAGTTCCAGCAAAAACATGGCAGCTCACAACTGTCTTTAACTCCAGTTCCAGAGGACCTGACACCTTCACGCCAATGCACATAAAATAAATCAATTTAAAAATTGTTTGGGAAAAAGCAAAACGAAACAAAAAACCACTCCTTCTATGCCCACTCGTGAGTAGGGATGTTAATGTAAACCGTCACTCAAAGCCCAAAGGAGTTTTTGGTTTCCCGCCCCAGGCGCTGGGCTAAGATGGGTCCTTCCCACGACCACACACCCTTCGCTAGGACCTCGTCTTCTTCCTTTCCTTTACCCACAGCCTGCCAGCAGGACCAGGAGCTCAGTGACTCGAGCTGTAGTCGCCCCGTCACAATGGCCATTAGAAGACCCTCAGTCTGACCGGTGCAAAACCTGCAAAATCCAACTAAGACGCAAAGCAGGCCGGGAAATGAAGTAGTAGCCTTGCCTTCCCAGAGCTTGCCGGGATTTGAAGTCCAGCCCCTCACAGGCTGCGAGGAAGCGCAAGGGGCGTGGGCAGCGGTTCCTACGTGCAGGCGGGTACTGCTCTTCCCGGGCAGCATGGCGGATGCGGCCCTTCAACTCAAGAGAAAGCGCGAGCCCGAGGCAGAGGAGGCAGAAACCCCCAGCACAGACGGGAAGGAAGCAGGCGTGGGCAATGGTGCCTCTGCCCCTGTCCGCTTACCGTTCTCCGGCTTTAGAGTCCAAAAAGTGCTGAGGGAGTCTGCGCGGGACAAAATCATTTTTCTGCACGGGAAGGTACCACTAAGCACCCGGGAGGGGGGCGCGCGGAAAAGAGGGAACCAGTCTTCGCGACAGAAGCGGTGTTTTTTTCCACTCCGGGAACTACCAGTCACGTTTAGGAGACGGTGGAATTGCACCACTGCGCTGCATGGAGTGACAAGATTACTCGTAGAATTAAAGGAATGCACACATCTAGGTCTGATTGCCCCATCTTCTCCCCCACAAATATCTACCAGTTTTAAAACCACGTGTTAAATTCCCCAAGTCATTCATCATCATTCATTTTACGTATAAAGGCGCCAGGAACTCAGCAGATGCTTGCTCTGGGCCCTGTCCCTGGAAACGACGAGATAACTGTGAAGTTATGTGGTCCCTGCTTCACATGACGTCAGCCTAGGTCGTTAACCCATTCCACATGCTGTGCGCTCCCTTGTATGACAGGGACTCCGGCGTGTACTTGGGATGAGGAGATGATAGTTCCGGGCTGCAGGCATGTCTGTGGAGGCCGACAGGCTGCTGGCTCTAACACCGTGTGCTTAGCTGTCCAGCAGCAGAGCTGGTGACTGTCCCAAACCACTGAGGAGGCCTAGTCAAGCCAGATGTCAAGGTTTCTCTAGAATGGGCTGCCCAAACTTTTCCACTCATGACTTTATTCTGCTGAGAAAGTTTTACATGACCCTGGGAATACAAGTGGCTATAATAGATATACAAATCAAACACTTACTGGAAATGACTCCTAAGGAAAGTAGTTTTTAAGGCATGTGCCACCACCTCCTGAACATTAATGTTTAAACAGTTCTTTGGCATATATATAATTTTTATTAAAGATGTAAACTAATTTGCATGCTAATGAATTGGATGTGCTTACTTATAAAGAATGAGATCTCCTCGGCTGAATATTTACTTCTGCAGGATATAGAGCAGCATCCTTTTAAAAATTTATTTGTATTTTATGTACATTGGTATTTTGCCAGCGTGTATGTCTGCGTGAGGGTGTCGGAATCACTGGAAGAGCAGTTATAGGCAGTTGTGGGTGCTGGAAATTAGACGTGGGCCCTCTGGAAAAGCAGCCAGTGCTCTTAACTGCTGAGCCACCTCTCCAGCCCCAATATAGAGTGCCTTATTGTTATTATTATTAGTGTTTGTGTGTTCACGTCGAGGACAGAAGTATTGTTCCTGTCTTGTTTTTTGCTCCCTTGTATTGCTTTTTAGTATATATATGGTTTCTCACTGATGGAGGATTCACTAATTAGGCTAGGCTGGGAGCCAGCAGGCCTCAGGGGTCCACTTATCTTTGCTTTCCTGGTTCTGTGATTTAAAGCAACACCATCACACCCAACTTCTTCTTCTTTTTTTTTTTTTTGTTACATGGGTCTTGGGGATGAAACTCAGGTCCTCATGCTGGCATGGAATGCATTTTACCAGCAAAACTATTTCCTAGCCCCAATGCTGGGATCTCATAGGCTTTGGAAGCTTCTGTTTGTGCGCAGGCTTTTCTAGTGGCGTTGTCCATGGGCGCACTGATGCTATCTCTGCCTGCAGGTGAATGAGGACTCTGGGGATCCACCTGGAGAAGATGCTGTGGTGATCCTGGAGAAGACACCATTTCAGGTAGAGCACGTGACGCAGCTCCTAACAGGAAGCCCTGAGCTCAAGTTGCAGTTCTCCAACGATATCTACAGCACCTATAACCTGTTTCCGCCAAGACATCTTAGCGGTGAGCACATGGTGGCTGTCGTGGTTGCGTGTGGGGAGGAAGGGGTGTTGTTCTAAATGACAGAGGGAGGGCTTGTCCCTCCAGAGAACTGGTACTCTCTGAAGACCACGTTGGTTGTTGGACCTGGGTGTGTGTGTGTTGTTGGCATCTAGTATATGGAGGATAGGCCTGCTGTGAAACACCCCTGCAAGGCACAGACTGGCCCTCCATGACTGCTAAAGTTGATAAATACTTCCTGGTGCAGTGTACTTGGGGGAGTAAGTGATTCATTGGATGGAATACTAAGTTCATTTCTTCTTCTTCTTCTTCTTCTTCTTCTTCTTCTTCTTCTTCTTCTTCTTCCTCTTCTTCTTCTTCTTCCTCTTCCTCTTCTTCCTCTTCCTCCTCCTTCCTTTTTTTTTTTTTTTTTTTTTTTCCTGAGACAGGGTTTCTTTGTGTAGCTCTGGCTGTCTTGGAACTCAGTCTGTAGACCAGGCTGGCCTTGAACTCACAGGGATCTGCCTGCTTCCACCTGTCAAGTGTTGGGATTAAAGGCCTATGCCACCATGGCCCAGCAATAAATTCATATAACACTAACTCAGGATATAACATTTTAATACATTCAGTCCACACAGCCCTATTGTTTAGGGAACTTTATAGGTGAGAAAAAGCGTAAATCACCAATTCAAAACCACATCACTGTAGAGGGCATGGAAACAAAGTATTTCAATAGACTGAAATCTCACCATACTCTTACACCTTGTCTGTTATAATGTGCTAGATGCTACACGGGTAATCGCTTCCCTGAAGAACCCCACTTCCTGGTAGGAGAGACAAACTGTTGTATTAAGTAGGATAAATTTGAGTAGGGCAGAAAGATACGGGTGACAGAAATTTGTGTGTGTGTGCGTGTGTATGGGCGTGTATGTATACCATATCTATGCAGTGCCCACAGAGGCCAGAGTGTTGGGTCTTGTGAGACTAGAGTTAAGAGACTTTAAGAGTCTCCATATGGGCGCTAGGAATTGGGCCTGAGTCTCCTGGAAGAGCAGCCATTGCTTAAACAGAGCCATCTCTCCAGCTCTGAAAGCATTTTTTAATTCACTAACTAAAAAGAAAAAGACAAACATTCCATGCCCCATCAAGGACATGATGTGTCAAGATGTTGTGGGCAACACATGAGGGGAAAGGGTTGCCTTTAATGGTTCCTAACCAGGAAATTCGAGAGTTTGTTTTACGCACATGGTGATTCGGTCACGTCCTCGTGTGTTCTCATTTGCCCCTCGGCTTTATAGGAAAAATTTGGCTTCCCAGATATCCTGTCCCAATGTCTTTTTTATAGTATTTCCCACAGCTCTATAAATGAGGGCTATTGTTCTTTGAAAATCCATGTGATTACTTGACTTGAGACAAGCAAACCTTTCAGGACAGGCAGCACATGATCCTGCGCTTCACTCAAAGCCAGCCGGATTCTTTCATTTAAGTTGATGGAAATGGGCAGCTGTCTTTATTTTTCTTAAGCGCTGACCTTTAGGTAAATGTATTCCTTGACAAGGGTTCGCAGAAGCGTGACAGAAGACACCGTAGCCAGGCGTGACTCACAGAAGCCACCAGACTGTAAACTGTGAGCCATTAGCTTACTTCCATCCTGGTTCCCTCCTCCTCCTGTCCTTCCCCTACCCTTCCCACTCCCAGCCAGAATTCAGTAGGTTCTGTTGCTGGGATCAACCTGCGGCATCCACAAAGCCTTCTTTTGTTCTGCTGTCCCTTCTTTCCATAGCACTCCTGTGACACCGCACCTAGGTGACAGTGATCACTGCCCTCTGTTTCTCTTCCAAGGTGAATATTGATAGTGGCCGTCGGTGAGGGCTCCTCTCCACGCAGCCCCACACGTCTCCATAACCCTTTCCTCATGATCATCCCTCCCTGCCTGGGTGCCTGGGGTGGGAGCTCTTCTTTCCCTGCCTGTTTCGCACACGGGCTGTGTTTTGTGACTTGCTTTCCCTACCTAACCCTGGCCTAGAGATTTGGAAGTCACAACAGTTGGCTTCAGGCCCGGTCTGTATTTCTCCCTTGCTTGACCATTTATCCTGCCGATGGGTGACTTCATAAATAGTGAGTTGGTTGACTCCCTTTATAAGGAACCAAAGTAAGTGTCCTAAGGCACGGGTGATCTCAGACTCCTACTTATTCCTTCTCTTCTTCCACTTCTCTAAAAATGAATGTATTCAGCTTCCTGGGTGTTCATTCAGGTAGTGAATCAAATGGTACCTGCAGGCCATAGTCTGTCAGTTCAGTTACCAGGGTTTTTCCCATTTAGAATGTGATCTGTGGAACAGTCCTGTAAGCACAGCCTAGGAGCTTTTCCTTCACAGACTCTAGACCCGACTGTGGACTACGGAATGGGAGCCTGTGTGCCAGCTAGATTTTTCTACAAGTCATATGCACATTATGCTTAGAAAGATACTGGTCTTTAAAAGATTGTTTGCTGGGGAGGCCTGCCTTTATTCCTCAGTCATTGGCCTCTTCAAGGACTGAAATAAACATCTACTTGTGGCTTGCACTTGAAATTCTCATAGGTACTGTATAGGTGAAGTTTGTCCCGCGCTCGGCCTCGCCTGCAAGAACCACGCGGGACACAGGATCCTTCTGCAGAAATAGCTTTAATGTCTCTTGGGAGCTAGAGCATAAGCCACATGGCGGAGACCCAGATATGATGGAACCCATCCCTTATATAGGAAACAGACCCTGCTTCGGATGTGTCACTCTTGGATTGGTCCGCTGCTCCCAGTCCCAGGTGATGCCTCGGGAGTAGGCGGGGACACAGAAGTGGAAAGTTACCAACACGTGTGTGTTCACCTGGCGGTGAAGCCGGATGTCAGCGCCATCTTGATGATGGAGAATGTGGCTGCGGCCTTCTACAGAAGTTCAAGAATAGAGTGTGTGCTTTATTCAGAAGCAGTCAGTACCTGTTTCATAGTGGCTACTATTTTATTTTGGTGTGCTGACCAAGTACCATTGCTTTGGAGTCCAATAAGATGCCATCTCTGCCCTGAGGCTTGTTTAGGGCAGCGGCAAGAGGGTCACAAGTTACTGTGAATAGACAGACAGTTGCTGTGGTTCTTTCTACCTAGATGGAGAGTGTAGGTAAGAAACCAGCTTTGGGCATAGGCCTGTAGTCCTAGCTACTGGAAACCTGAAGCAGAGGCTCGAAAGTTGAAGGCCTGTGTGGACTTTATAGCAAGTCCAGGACAACTTAGTAAGACTCTATCTCAAAATAATAGTGTAAGAATAAGAACACTGAGGTATAACTTAGTAGTAGGGCGCTTGCACCAGTGTGGGGCCCTAGGTTTAATCCCCTTTACCACAGAAAGGAAGGAAAGAAATCAAGTCATGGGTGGTTGAGGAGAGTTTCCTATGGGAGTCTTTGGCAGTTTTTATATCCCCCAGTGCTTGAGAGCCGGCAGCAGTGGCAGATTAGAGTTTAGTGTGCCAATCCTTGTTCAGGCCTCGGGTATCAGGACTCTTAGCTCAGCAAGTGTCAGAGAACTGTGTAAGTCAGGATTCCATAGCATTTGGTACCAGCCAGTTTGCCATCTTTTGGCCTTGGGTGTCTTGAGAATGTTGATTTAAATGAATTCACAGCTTTCTGGAACTCTTCCAGCAATCAGAGTCTGTAGGTTTCCTTTTCTGACCCCTTATAGTCTTTTATCCCCTTTTATCCTCTACCCCCTTTTGCTGTCTCTCTACTTAAAAAAGAGAAAAAAAAAGATTTGTTTATTTTTATGTATGTGGATGTTTGCTTGCATGTATGTCTGTACCACATGTGGTCAGTGCCCTTGGAGGCCAGAAGAGGGCATCAGATTCCTTGAAACTGGAATTGCAGATGGTGACAGGGATCAAGTGGGAGCTGGGGACAAACCCCAACCCTCTGGAAGAGCCCTGAGTCACCTCTCCAGTCGCCTTCTCTCTCCTTCTGGTTTCTCACCCTTCTTTTCTTACTCTGTCCACTCTTGAACTATCCAGCTGCTGCTTCAGCTGTCGGGCCGCCAGCTGCCTTGCTGTGTCTACAGCTCGGCCTGTGGGCTGGTCCGCCATTGCCATTCCCTCTGTGGTTGTTGCCACTCTGCTGGGTCTGTTGCTTCTCTCCCTGCATTGCCAGCTCAGCTGCATGAACAAAAGTAGGCAAGAAAAGACCCCTTATGGGAAGACATTTATTGGGTCTAATTGGGCAGAAGAGTGTCCCTTAGCCTGTCTGCTTATATGGTCAAAGAGGGGATGGTGCCTCAATTATGCAAATGAAGGTTTGTGTTTCTCATGAATCATGGCATTGTCCCTTTTGTACCAGTCACAGCAGTCCTTCTGCCAGCCCATCAGGATAAATGCTCCTTTTCTAGGCTGAATAGACCCGGTTATAGGATATCCCAGTCCACTGAGGGTTGTGATGGCAAAAAGCTTGGTGCAAATTATTTGAAATGGTTGTGGCTGGGACTCTACCTCCAAGAACTGGCAGTTGTCTCTCAGTTTACTTAAGGGAACTGAATTGCTGCTCACAGCCAGAGAGGGGATGGAAAAAAATATCACAACACACCTCACATGCAAATGAAGGATTGTGTTAGTGCCAATTACAAGTATTCCTTTCGCTAGGTCACTAGAATAATGCTCCATCTCTGGCCTGTGGGTAAATGATTGTAGAGTCCTCTAGAGTTCAGCAAAATTTGTGACAGGAAAAAGTCTCTTATAAATGACTTGAAACAGTCAAAGCTAGCCGATTGAGGCTGCTCATCAGGACCCCTTAGCTGTGATTGTTGTATAGTTTCTTCACGTCATCTGTGGAGCTTTTAAAAATGGTCAGTGCTGGCTGGCTGGCTGGCTGGCTGGCTGAAGGCAGCTAGGGCAGCAGGAGTCCCGCAACTTACAGTTATGGAATCAGGTTGCCCCATTACCCAGTGACTTGACTTATTTACAGAAGAATGAACATCATAAGTAATATGTCCTATACAGACTTGCAAAAATTATTA